TTTGCCCCAACAACTCGGTTGCTAAAGGACGGAGCTCAGCAAATGAATTAGGAGCCTGGGAAACTCCCAACCATGAAAGAATACATCACCACACCAGCTTGGGTAAAACGCACCCAAAGAAACTGTGATCCGAGTCCTCAAGGTTGTTACAAAGGGCACATCGATCGGACCCAGGGCTGTTATGTTTGCGAATCTGATCAGCTGTGGGAAGCCGGCCTCTGATGGCCTGCCACTTGAAAAATCTTGACCTTAGGCGGTACCCTAGCAAGCTAGACATGTTTGAACTTATTCATGGGAGCACCAGAAATTCAAGGCAAGTAAAGCGACTTGACAGAGAATCCGCCTGAAGCGGAGTGGGGCCAAGCAACAAAATCATCCTCCTCCGAGAGAATAGGGAAACGAGCAGCAAGAAGATGGCGTTCTCCCAACTCTTCATGAGAGAGGGTTCTCCTGAAACCCAAATCCTAGTCTAAACAGGAGAGCTCAAAGATTGAGATCTCCGGTTCTGTGCAGTAGGAGAACAAAGTCGGGAAGGCAACAACTAAAAGTTAATCACCACACCACCAATCGAGCCAAAAACGAGTGGAAGAACCGTTCCCAACCACAAACTTAACCTGAAGTCCTCACACACTTTAATAAGATGACGCCAGAACTGGGATCCACCTGAGGGAGAAGCAAATAAAGGACTGCAATTAGGAAAATATTTGCCTTTGCGAACCCGTAGTAAGAATTTTCCACCACCACTTAATAATAAGGCACTTGTTCATAATGGAGGTATTAAGGATACCCAACCCACCATGGGTTTTAGGGCGGCAAATATGTTGCCACTTCACCAACCTATATTTGCGACGATTATCAACAGCATTCTAGTAGAAACCCTATGCTTGTCAAGACCCACATGAATCCCCTCGGTAAGGCGGTAAAAACCCATTATAAACATAGGTAGAGAAGAAAGACAAGCATTGGTAAGACAAAACTTTGCCAGCGTTCGTGTTGTATTTGTCGCGCCAAGGCACGACACAATTTCCAACCTTGGCCACAAGAGGCATGAAATCTTTGGCACAAAGTTTGAAAGGCGCTATAGGAAGGCCAAGATATTTGAAAGGAAAGGGCCCAAGTTGGCAATTCAGCACCTGCGAAACTCTCAAATCATCAACCTCATTCAACCTAGTGACTAAGACCTCACTCTTAGAAAAATTAATTTTCAGCCACGAGAGCGCTTCGAACAGAGCAAAATAAACTTTAAGTTAGCAATGCAGAGATCATTAAGCTCAATCATAAGAATAGTATCATCTGCATATTGCAGATGGGTGTCCCCTTCCGGAATGAGATGATAAACCACAGGAGAGATGTGACCAGCCATGACAGAATGCAAGAGTGCACTTCAGCAACAAAATTAAAGAGGAGTAGGGAAATGGGGTCTCCCTGCCGCAGGCCCCTACCGTTGGCAAGGTAGTTACTAATCGCACCATTCACGGCCACCGCCGTGTGTCCACCAGACATGAATTGCATGAGGCGATGGACATAAGCTCCATCAAAGCCTTTGGCCAACAAGTACCTTGCATAAAATGTCCCAACTCACTGAATCATAAGCTTTTTCGAAGTCCAATTTAAGGATCAAGGCTTTCGTCTTCCTCACCCTGAGGTCGTGCATAATTTCATGAAGACTAAGAATCCCATCTAAAATAAATCTACCATTCACAAAAGCAGAGTGCGACGGGCTGAGAACTTTATGCGCTACCGGAGAAAGGCGAGCAGCAGCAAACCCTTTGGCAGGAAACTTGGCCAAGTAAGAACGGTAGTAGTAAAAATTCTTTATTTATTGGAGGGTAGGCTTGAGCCTGTTTAAGCTTGCATAGCAGACTCACCTCTGCCTATATGTATATTGTCATCAACTTTTAAATATGTTAAAGGGCATGATTGGACTTTCACTCATGTCTCTCCGTTTAGGAAAGAGGTTCTTTGGGCAATGAGTCGTAACTAATAGAAGGTAAGCATGACAATTTTGCCTGAGTTCAATTTTTTGCTAGGATTTTTTGTACTTGTTAAAAGAATTCTCCGCCTTGCAATGATATAAATTACCAGAAAAAAGTTTGATTTGTCATCCTATCTTAGTGAATGTCAGTGCAATAACATACTCGATAGAAAAACCGAAATGATAAACCAAACGTAACTTAGATGGTTAAATTCCTCGTGGTGAAACCAACTCACCAGAGACACTGATGCTAGACTTAGACATGGCTGCTTGCATTTTCTTAAATTATTTTCAGACTTTCTAGTGATGCTTGTTCAGGACGAGGCAACATTCTCATTGATTTATCGAAAAAGGCTTTCGCCCCGCTTTATATATAAAGCCACAACCAACTTATAACTAATGATACAACACCACACGCACCCAAGACAAGGTACAAAGATGCTAAGAAGCAGCTATCACTCCCACAACAAACCCAAGTAAACAGCAGATAGACACTAAGCCTCACTAGGAAGTCAAGGGAGCACTCAACCGGGAACAAGCCACCGAGAAAAGACCAAGCTACCCGCTGTTGATCTATGATCCCCAAGGTGACGCCTTCAAGAAGGATACGCCACCGGAGTGCCGCCACCACCCGATCCAGAGGATCACGATTTTCATCCGGGGCACCTTGGAGGACATGGAGTAACCATGACGGAGCCTTCAAGAAGATCACGACGTCCACGGACGACGCCTCCGTCGGCCTGGGAATGCCAGGCAGGGTATTCACCCAGGTAAACACACTCCGACTCCAAACAGGTTGCGACCAGTCCTGGGGATAGACGCCGCATCACAACCACCAATCGACAAGCACTAGCTGCCATGCCGCCCACACGACCATGGAGACTAGCCCGCACCTGAACCGCGAGCTCCGCCCACGAGCACGCCGCTCCCACCACCAAGGTCGCCGCCCTGCATCCCGACGCTCCAGACACCAACAAAGGGACGGACTTGGGACCGACCGGCAAAACTCTAGCATAACAGAGCCGCCGATGACTAGACTACCCCGAACAACGATCTGGAGCTCGGAAGCACTAGGTAGGGGAAATGGGGAGAAGAGGAGCGGAGCATGTCCGGGCCAGCGCCCCCTGCGCCGGTGACGGGTAGAGAGACCACCCATCCCCCTGCAACCTCCCCACACTACACCCCTGATGCCCCACCACGGCCTCCCGCAGCTCCACGCGGGGCAACATCAGCCAACCGTCCACCGGCAAGGGCCGTCGGCCCGTCCGCACCCAGCCGCCAAAGAGGGCCTCCAAAGCGCTCATCCACCGAGGGACCACCGCACCACCGGCAGCCGCTGCTGTAGCAGCTCGCCACGCGCTGCCACGGTCCACTCCCAACGCCACGACCACGCCGGGTCGAGGCCAGCCCCCGCGCCGCCTGTCTAGGGAGAGCCACCAGATCCAGATCTGATTTGGGCCGCCGCCACCGCCAGGCTCGCGCCACCGCCACCACCAGGGGCACATCCCGCCAGTGGCGGACCTACCATTGGGGCGAGCAGGGGCGGCCGCCCCGGCTCTCCTGATGCGGAGCAGGGTACCCTAGCTCAGCCTCTTTCAGTTTTAGTCGAAGGGGAGCAGCTCCATTGACGATGAGATCCGTTTCTGTTGGACAGTTATGTTCCTAAGCAAGAAGAAAGAAAAGATGGGCCTAGACGACTGGACTTTGTGGGCTTTAGTTAGCTGTGGAAAGCCCTTTTTTTCAGGAACCAACGCATCATGTACACCACGTGCAGTAGCCTGTAGCCTATTGAATCGTTCGATTCAGTACTGGTCGATTGGAGAAAAATTCCCACAATGCCTCACAAATTCCAATCCCTAGCTCACCTTCACGACCATGTTAGTAGGCAATGAGATTTAGATACATATTTGTTTCCTTGTTTTACATGTTGTAGGTTTTGCTTGGAGTTTTGGGTCGTGTTGTTACAGCCAATGAGTGTTCAGGCAACAAGAGACCATGTTAGTAGTTTCTAAGATGTTTTTTCTAATATAAGTTTCCATGTTCTTAGTAGTTGAATCTTATCCATATTGAAACTCAACCTTTCGAGGCCATTTATTGTGTTGAAAACACTTGCATTGTGCTTCAATTTTTTTGTCCTAACATGTTCGCCCCGGCTAACTTGAATTCCTGGGTCCGCCACTGCATCCCGCCAGGCACACCACCTAGCCCACCACACCGGGGCAGCAGCCACCAGCGCCGCCGCACCCCACCAAGCGCAGCGCCCCCGAACGATGAGGCCGTCCCGCGTCGCCAACCACCGCTCGAGGAGGAGAGGAGGCCCCGCCGCCGCCGCCGCTGGCCGGGCTTTGCCCGCCAGCGGGCGCGGCGGCGGCGAGTGGAGTGGAGGAGGGGAGGGGACTAGGAGCGGCGGCGGCTCCCGCTAGCGACGGGGGGAGGAGTCTTTTTCGCTCCCCTCTTACTCTAGGGGAGGGTGAATGACTTTGTTGTTCTTATTGATTTTGAAGGCGCCTACATCCGTACCATGTTTAAAAATACATGGCAATGACACTTGTATGTATACAAGAAGGCGACGACTTCCTTGGGTTGGAGGACGATTCACTTCACCCCGTATCCACGGGATGTTCACCGATTTCCGTTACAGTCGGCAGTAAACGACCAAACAAACACCGGACCCTCGTTAAAACCGACGACGACGCCGCAGCCGTAGGCTCGACGCCAAACTTTTTCAGAAACACTGCACGTTCAGAATCTCCTCGAAAGGGACGCCACAAGAACCCGGGCGTACGCTTCGCCCGTGACGAGCGCCGCACACGCTAGCGCGCCGTCCAAGCGCTCGGCGCCTCTGACCCGGAGCGCCACCCCATCACGGGACCGCCTGCCGCGCCTTGTCCCGTTGCTCTTTGCTCCCTACGTTTTCCTGCGCCCCGAACGCCACTTTCGCGCGCGCCTGTACACGCCATTTCCCATCACTCATCGCCGTCATCCTCAGCGCTGTACTGCCGCTCCCGTGTTCTTGACCTGAGAGATGGATGCGGGGAGCGCCGGCGAGGCGGGACGGCAGGAGGGGACTCCGATGGGCCCCGCGGCGCCGTTTGGCAGGTCGTCGTCGTCGTCGGGTCTCGGCGCGAAGGGCGGCGCAGCACCCCAGAGCTTCGACGGCGCGCTCAGAGTTGAGTGGTTCTTTTCCCAACCATACCGCGTCAAGTGCGCGCCTCTGATTAGTGCTTGCGGGTCGGACGTCCGACGCGTTCGTTGGGGTTTGCAGGAGCTCAAGGATCTGCAGTCCCAGCTGCACCAGGCGGCGGACTGCTGCGAGAAGGCGTTCCTCGCCACCGAGAAGAAGCAGCTGTAAGCGCAGACACTCCCATCGATTCTCTCACTCCAACACATTTTCTTTATTTTCCTCCCGTGGTCGTGGAATTGATGGCCGCGTGTAACTTTCATTTCCTGCGCGTGGTGGTGAAGAATCCTGGACAGTACAAAGAGCTACATCTGCAACGCGGTAGTAGCGGTGATTGATCATCTGGGGACCGTTTCATCCAAGCTTGAGCACCAGCTGGAAGACAAGGCTGAGATCACGCAAACAGAGCAAAAGATCAACTTCCTGAAGCAGGTTGGGTGTTCTCTCCACTTGTAGCTATAAAAAAATTATGTATGGATATCTGGTGTAGTTACCAGAAATAGTTTGGATTAAACAATGAACCATATCTATGATGATAAAGTAGTTGAAACTTCAGAGGGTACACACTGGTTTTCAGATAACTTGGATGCTCTTTTCGTTGGCTTGGGAATTCCTCTCTGCTCTAATTTAGTATGCACCACTTGTTTCCTCATTCCGATTGACTTACAAAGTTGAGCTTGACTGCTGAGTGGTGATGAACTTCGACCAAGCGAAACCCTGCTATGCTCACTGAACTTTGTATGATCTCTTGATGTTACCAGAGGCTCTTGACATGCGAACACTATGCAATTTCTCTCCAACTATTGGCCGTTCGTGCGGACACTGGCGCCGTTCAATATCATCGCCGTTATCTTTCGCAATGTACAGTTTTCAAACCGACTTGTATGATGAACATGCAAAATGCTTCAGCTCTGCTATGATTTACTAACTAGTACTACTTTTCACTACAGCTTCTGAAAGAAACAACGAGGAAAATGTCGCCAAGTCAAGGTTCACTCGCTACTAGTTACTTTTAGATTCTTTCGCTTTGTCTTCCTTTGTACCTGTGGTCTACAATTTGTATCACTGTATGACATTAGCAGCATTTTTTCACACAGCAGAGGTGGCCCAGAACCCTTCAAGCTCAATAGCGCAGTGGCGCCAGGATCTACTCGCACTCTGAAGCCATATGATGCTGAATCAACCATCGGTAAATTTTATTGCGACATGAAACATAGTATGAACAATTGTGTATTTGGCACCGTAAAGATATTCTGCTTCCATGCTACTGTGAAGAAGGATCCCAATCATTATAGCTGATCAAAATTTCCCTTTTTATGTACTCCTTCCGATCCAAAATAAGTGTCGGGTTTTAGTTCAAATTCGACACTGTTTTTGGATCAGAGGGAGTAACATTTTTTAGCATCCCTTCAACTACTAATAACACAGCAAGTTGTTCCCACTTTTTTAAAGCTTACTCTTTTCATATCGCCATGATTGATTTACCATATGGCTAATGACATGGTGATCTTATTAGGGAGGGAGCATGCCGTGGCGGGTTCAGACGTTGGAAACCCAGCATCCATAGCGAGGTCATTTTCCTTCAGAGCAGAGGTATTCCTATGTTATATTATACAGAAATATTTGCTGTAGACACTATCTACACCAAGAAATCAACACGACATTGCCAAGTGTGTAAGCTATTCAGTGATGCATGCTTCTTTTTTACCTTGATGCATAAGATTTTTTTTTCCTCTGAATTTTATGCAGGATGTTCACGTTGCTGCAGGGGGTCACCACAAGAAGAAGAAGAAAGGCAGCCATGGCAGCAACATCATGTCATTTCTCAAAAGAAGCAAGCGACATGGGTAAAGCCACCGGGTGCAGTTAGAATGTGGCTATCACCAGAGTTTTTGCCAGCCATCCGAATGTCCATTGTTCTGTAACAGGAATGTATGCATGTATGTTTGAGTTCTGCTCCGGTGCACACATGTGCAGACGTGCAGTAAATTGAAATTCAGGGTCGAGCTGAAACATTCATGCCACATCGGGGAGAAACACTCATGTTCATTTTATTTTCTGTCTGAAGAGTTCATACTATGGGAACTGGTGATAGTGTCGGACCACGAGCGTTCAGTCGACTTCCTTCGGGAACTTTATGCTAAGATCTCATCCTCTCCTTGGCAGATTGTTATTGGAGGGGATTTTAATCTCCTTCGGGGTGCTGCGGACAAAAGTAGGGGTGTTATTACCAACCAAAGGCTGGTTGAGAGCAACTCTAACGGGCCGACCCAAACGGACGGCGATTTTGTCCGCTTTTTGTCCGTTTGGGTCGGCCAGACGAACACGAACGTCCGCTTTCGCGTTTGGGTTGGCGCGTGCGCCCAACGCTGACGCGACCCATTTTGACGGCGAAAAAAAGACTGCATGCATATTTAACATAAAAACAACATCAATTAAATATTAAAGCCGGCCACATTAACATTTAATAAAAATAAAAACAAACTAAAAACTACGCGCCGGCGCGCTGCCCTAGGCGTCATCGTCGTCCCCGGGGTTCGTGAGGTCGATGAGCGTCGGCGCCGGACCGGCCCACGCGAACGCCATGTTCCAGAGCGCGGTCATGTCGGGCGCGGGCAGTGCCGCCACGGGCTGTGCCGCCGCGGCCTGGCACGCCTCCTCCTCGGCCTCGAGCTGCTCGGCCTCGGCATCGCACTCGAGCATCTCGAGGTACTTGCTGTCGCGGCGCTCCTCGGCCACCCGGATCTGGCGCCAGTGCTCGAGGTACGCCGCCTCTTGCTCCGGCGTCGCCCCCAGCCAGACCGGCAACGCCCTGACCCACTCGCGCACTACTCCCGTCAGGAGTAGCACTCGATGGGCTCCGGCTCCGGCTGTGGGTTGGCTTTTGCAGGCGGCGGGGAGGGGACGGCGGGGCCACCGGCGGCACCACACAGTTGCCGGCCGTGGAGAGGGCCATGGCCTGCGCCATGGCAGCCTCGTACCGAGCCTCCTCTCCCTCCGCCAGCTCCGCCCTGCGCCGCTCGTCCTTCTCGCTCTCCCGATAGAAGGCCGCAAGGGCCGCCTGGTAGGCGTCCTCCGATGCCTGGTCTTCCTCGCGGACGATGAGCAGGGACGGCGACAAGCTGCGGTCGACCTCGCGCACGCTGCGTCACCTCGCCTCCTCGTGCTCAAAGGCAAACCAGCGCGCCCAGTTGGGCGAGTCGGAGGCGTAGGCCTGGTCGCGGCGCTGCTCCGACGTCAAGAGCGCCCGTCGGCGACACACCTCCTCCGCGTGCGCCCTAGCCGACCGCGGCGCAGTCGTGCGACAGGGTGGCATCGAGATACGACAGAGGCACGCGGTGCTGCCAATGCCACTCCACCTGGTGCACGGGCACGTTCACATGTTGCCTCTGCTGGCGAGCCGGCGCAGGCGGAGGCGGGATGAACTCCGCAGGGAAAGGGACAACGGGGGCCTTGACCTTCGACTTGTTGCTGCTGCTGGTGCCGGAGAAGAGCCCCATTTGGCATGGCTGGGGTGGCTAGGGTTGGCTAGGGTTTGCTTGCCAGCGACGGGGGAGCGAGTGTGGCTAGATGAGGACGGGGGCCGGATGAGGACGGCCCCGCCGCACGGTCGGCTTAAAAAAGGACGACCACCATCGCTAACGCGTGGCGCCGGGGTCATAAATTAAGCTGACCGGCGAGGTGGCGGGTAGTTGGACGACCGCCAGGTGGGGCCGTGGCGGACACCGAGAAGGCGTGCGTGGTGTCCCTTCTGCGTCCGCGCCGACGCATTTGGGGAGCAAATTTGGGCCGCAAATGCGTTGGCGTGGACGCGAAGCGGACGCGTTTTGGGTTTGGGTCGGCGCGTTGGGCCTCCTCTTTTGTCCGCGCCGACCCAAACGGACGGCCACTGACGAAATGGGTCGCCCCGTTGGAGTTGCTCTGATACTTTCAATGATTGGGTGGCCGATCTCGAGCTCATTGAGCTGCCTAGGGTGGGGGCTGGGAAGCCAAGTTTCCAGGGTGCTCGCTGGCCGCCGAGACCGGGCTCGGGTCTGACCACTATCTGCTCATTCTTAACTTCGGTGAAGCCCCGCGACGTGTATGCTGAAGGTTACTTCAATGTGGATTGCAGATAGGGATGCCCTCCCCCCAACTGGTTCGGTACGCCTTGCGACGCCATGGACATGTGGCAACATTGTGTGCGCCTTTTGTGGCGACACTCGAGAGGGTGGGCTGCGAATGTAGAGAGCCAGCTCAAGGCACGTAAAGAGGCACTTTTGAATGAGGTGGCGACCTTCTACCTCTTGAGCTTGCGTTGGTTTTCCCTTGAAGAGGAAAGGATGATGCAATAAAGTAGCGAGTATTTCCCTCGGTTTGAGGGTATCAATCCAGTAGGAGAAAATGCACAAGTCACCGAATACCTGCACAAACAATTAACAATTTGCACCCAACGCGCGATAAAGGGTTGCCAATCCCTTCAGGTCACTTGCAAAAGTGATATCTAATAGAAATAAATAAACGGTAAAGTAAATATTTTCGGGTATTTTTGGTTTATAGATCGGAAAGTAAAAGATTGCAAAATAGTAGATCAGAAACTAGTAAGATGCAAAAGAAATTCAATATTATGGAACAGATACCCGGGGCCATAGGTTTCACTAGTGGCTTCTCTCAAGATAGCGAATATTACGGTGGGTGAACAAATTACCACCGAGCAATTGATAGAAGAGCGCATAGTTATGATGATATCTAAGGCAATGATCATAAACATAGGCACCACGTCCGTGTCAAGTAACCAAAATGATTCCGCATCTACTACTATTACCACACATCGACCGCTATCCAGCATGCATCTAGAGTATTAAGTTCATAAAGAATGGAGTAACACATTAAGTAAGATGACATGATGTAGAGGAATTAACTCAAGCAATATGATGAAAACCCCATCTTTTTATCCTCGATGGCAACAATACAATACGTGCCTTGCTGTCCCTACTGTCACTGGGAAAGGACACCACAAGATTGAACCCAAAGCTAAACACTTCTCCCATTGCAAGAAAGATCAATCTAGTAGGCCAAACTAAACCGATAATTCGATGAGACTTGCAAAGATATCAAATCATGCATATAAGAGTTCAGAGAAGAACCAAATAATATTCATATATAATCTGATCATAAATCCACAATTCATCGGATCTCGGCAAATACACCACAAAAGAATATTACATCAAATAGATCTCCAAGAACATCGAGGAGAACATGGTATTGAGAATCAAAGAGAGAGAAGAAGCCATCTAGCTAATAACTATGGACCCGAAGGTCTGTGGTAAACTACTCACGCTTCATCGGAGAGGTAATGGTGTTGATGTAGAATCCCGTCATGATCGAATCCCCCTCCAACAGGACGCCGGAAAAGGTCCCTCCATGGGATCTCAAGGGTAGAGAAGGTTGTGGCGGTGGAAAAGTGGTTTCGTGGCTCTCCTGGTCGTTTTCAGGGTATAAGTGACGGTGTCCTGGACTAGGGGGTACTCACCACATCGTCTCCCGAGCGGGTGGATCGGGCCGAGGACCCCCATGGCGGTTCACTAATGGGCCACTTCGGGCAACCCATGCCGCATACAAGGGAGATTCCACAAGACTTGGTGACCAAGACGAGGACTCTCCAAAACCCTAGGCCTCCGGTGTGCTATATAAACCGAGGCCAGACTAGTCAATAGACAAGCTAATATTCATTAGAAACATCTCGTGGTAGATACATGTACTCTATACTATACCCATATCAATACAATCAAAAGCTGGATATAGGGTATTATCTCTTCGAGAGAGCCCGAACCTGGGTAAAACCCTGTGTCCATGTTACCATCGCTCCAAGATGCCTAGCTTAGGACCCCTACTATGAGATATGCCGGATTTCACACCGACATTGGTGCTTTCATTGAGAGCCTGTTGGCAGCCGCCAAAGTGTGATGGGAATTCAGATCGACTCTGGCATGATCTACGCATCAAAACCGAGCTTTATTGTCGATGTCGGCACCTTCATCGCCGGCTCAATTAGTCACCTTGGATCGACCGAGGACTACACTCCGTCTCAGATCATTATGTTTGGATGAGGGCCTTCATTATCAACTCCGATATTTATCAAGATCATGAGGAATCATCGATGGAGCTCGGGGGCTCAACGTCAACATTGCCCTCGGGCGACCGTGCTGTTTTTCTAGAAAACAAACTTGTATATGCCGCCACAGCCTTCTCGGGTGTCGCTTTGATGATTGCTTCAGCGGAGTTGTGTGGAATTGAGTGTACAATAACCCTGTAAAATTTCGTCGCGTTCCGATGGAGGAATCTTCGGTGATCTATGCTATACTGGAGGCCTGTCGAGTCTGGACGGGAATATGGACGAGTTTAGGGCGTGGTCTCCAGAGCCTAGCTCAGAGGTTATTTGGAAGATCGAACCATCCATCTTCTGCATAATTTCCATATCTACCACCTCTCAAAATTTTAGCTCGATCCGACCGTTCAAACTCCGGGAACCTTCCGATTAGTGCATCACTTTTCAGATCTGTTTTCTGCGTGAATGCGAATCTGACCTGAGTTCATCTTTCTTCATGAACGGGAAATTGGACAACCTTTTTGGAAGAATCTCTTTCTAGGGTATTGTGTTTTGTTTCTGAACACATGCTCACAAATTTTGCTCCTTTTCGGAGGTAATCTTCACCGTCGCGCCGGTGTCAAACCAGCCCTTGCTCCACATCTGCCGACCTGTGCTAGACAGATCGTCGCTTCATCGAGCCGAGTCCAACCTTATCGGATCATCAACTCGGCAAGCCGAACAAGAGTTCGGCATCACAAAGCTAAATTATCACCAACACCAT